CACTCACACAAAGGCCAAGAATAAATGTGGTCTTTAGGGTTATTCCTACTTGATACTGTACAGAGCACTGATAACATGGCAAGGAGAGCAATACCTGTATCATCAGCAGACCGACAGCTAACTCTGTGTTTGGTAAATGAGAATTTTCCTGTGAGAATTGGAGCTTTTCTAAATTCTAGTCATTGACAACTGCATTGCAGATTAAAGTACTACGGTCATTATCAGATGGGTTAGCAGGCAGGATGCAAAAAAGGCTGTAAAAAGTGCACTGTGAGTGCAACTCGTCAGGTACAAACTGCTCTGTGTAGCAGACACATGGTAAATACTGCGTCCTTGTTAAGTATGAACAAATATGTATGAAAACACTTAAGCTTCCCAAATTTACAATGCAACTCACACTACAAACCTAAAAATGGAAATTATAACTAGAGACATTGGATCACAAACAAACAGCTGCAAAAACAGTAAGACAAAGGCAAAATACTAAGCTGATTGGAATTTCACAAGATTGACGTTGTTGCTAAAGTGCTTGGGTTGATTACCTTTTAAGAAACCAAAGTACATAAAAATTTAATCAAAACAGATAATATTAACCACATAAGTTATTATACAAATACAACAACAGACTAAAAAAAGAAAATTAAATTAAAACAAACACTGGTAAAAAGTACTAGCAAAGAATAAGTACACAGCCAAAACTTGTTAAAATTTCTAGTATTCATTCAGCTGTAAGACACTGCTCACACCTGTCAGCCACAAGCAGCAAAAAAGAGACAAAACAAGAAGGGGTCTGCTGCTGAGAGGCATCAAACCTTTCAAACCTGTCAGCTGCAAATTGTCAGCTCAGGTGCCAAGTACATGATGCTGTAATAGGTGAGTGAACAAAATGTAATGTCTGAAGATAAAACACAGATTGTGGTAAGAGTTTAGGACCCATCATGTTACATGAAATTCAGTTTCATTTTGTTAGGTCTTTAATAGCTTTATTACATCTGATATGAAGGAAACACCAATTGCCTTATTTTCTTTACTCCAACTGCTAAAGGGACAAGACTTTCAATACATAATCGAGTACTCTGAGGTAAGTAAATTATTAAAATAAAATTAAGAGGAGTAATTTTGGAACTTTATTTCAAAAAGGTGTTCTGCTTCATTGGTATGGCTTTTCCATCACTCCCTTTTTCTGCTTCTCTCTGCTATGTCCCCAAAGCAGAAATTACATAAAATCCTGACAGCCTGTTCTGGGAAATATAAAAGTTTTGAGTTCTGAGCTCATCCTCTACGATAACTGATCAGCACTGTAGTGGTTCACTGGATTAGTGGAAAAACAGCTCAAGAAAAAATTGTTCCTTTTTCTAAGTAAGAATATACTAATCAGATTTATAAATAGACAATGCATCTTAGCAACAGCATTATGAAACAAGTGGAAAACTTCAATTGTTGTTAGGCCTAAAATACTCAGAACCTGCCACCATAAAATATAGTAATTTTAGGGAAGCACAGAATATTATTAGACATCTGTGCTAGCATTTTGTTTTCTAGCTGCTAGCTGAAAAGCTTTTATTGTCTTAGGTATTTTTCCATTCCTTCATAAGGGATGGGAAATCTAGGCAGAAGCATAAGAGAAAAAGGATTATACTTTATTTAATCAGCTAAAGTACTTTACATCATATGGTTATTCCTGTGGGAGTCCTAATCCTGAAAAACTTGTGTGAATGTACTTAATTTGACAGAGAAGTGTTCCTCTGTCTAGACTGGCACTATTCATACAGCTGTGATGGACAGCTTTTGCAGGACTCAAGTCAAAATGTTCAGCACAGTGTAGACTGGAACCCATTTATAGAATTGTGACAGCAATTTTTTTTTAAATCCAAATAAAATGCTCCTTTGTTTAGCTAGTGTTACTATGAAGTGTATATTCCATAATTTTTCAGAGCTGATGTCAGACTGGTGCGATAGCATTGCTGAGATCTTCTCAAGGGCTAGCAGGAATTTAAAATGCTTATTCCAGTAATTTTATTCTCAATGATGTATTGTAATGATCTGTATGTTTTACAGTCTAAAGCTGTCTTGCAGCTGAAGAAACCCAAAGATTATTATCCTGTACTTTAGCATTTAAATATTAATTCATACTATTAACATTTAATAAATCAATTTTCACTTGAGTCAATTGATATACAGAAAATGTTTCCTAAAATTGAACCGATTTAAAAATTATTTTTAAGAAAAATTACTTTTCATATAAATATGAGCCCTGAAGATTCAAATGATACTTTAAGAATATCTGTTTTGTTGCTTGTTTTAAAACTAAAGAATGCCTTAAGAAAGTTCAGCAATAAACTGCAAAATACAGATCTCTGGACCAGCACTGGTTAGTGCTGATCTAGAGAGTGACTTCATTTACAGTGAGGAAACCTTACCCATTTTAAAAGGCAAGTGATTATTATATTTTTATATGGAAATTCTAAATGCTTATAAGTAAATCCATGAAAGAGGGATTTGCAGGTTTAGCTCTTCAGTGGAAAAGCTCCTGGGCCTCAGTGTGAGTTGAAATCTCCTGTAAGAGATCTGTCTTCTGTGTTTGAGACAGAACATTTCATTCTAACATCAATAAAAGAACAAGAGCTGCATCCCAATTATGCTTGCCTTGAGCCTGCATACAAGCCTTCATTCATGTGAGTGATCTCTGTAGACCACTACTATTATGCACCTAAGTATCTAAGGTTACATTCTATGTCTGTTTTCTTGCATTGGTATAATAACATGATAAATCACAAATAACGTTAGCTGAAAAGTCCGCTTCTGTCTCTCACTCAGTGTAAAGTGCTACATTGCCTTAATTTACAAAATAGTCACCGATAAATCTAACTGAACTTCAAATGATGTTATTGCAGAAACTATTACTTCATATTCACCATTATTTAACAAAAGATATTTCACATTCACAGTAGAGTACAATGAAAAACGTTGTTCTCTTTCCTGCAGAGGACTAAAGTATGAGATGTAGCTGCACTTCAAAAGCCATTTCGTGAAATGGAGTGTCAGCCATAAAGTGGCAGGCAGGCTTCTTAAAGAAAAGGACCAAAAGGAACATTGTGTAGTAAATACATAATGAGTGAATGAAATGTAACAGGTAGAAATAAGTTTTGTGAGATGAGAATATTTTCTTATAAATACTAGAACCAACTGTCAATCCCCATGAAGACAAGAATGTTTTTGCTGTTAACATCATTGGAATAGGACTTTTGCTACTGAAGTTCAAGAATTGTATAATGGAGTGAAACTGCCAGAGTTAGCAAAGTAGTTACCCAGTGTTACCACTGACTCAAGCCATTACTGATCCCTTCTCATACCCTCCTGATACTTTCTTCTACATTCATTCTTTGCCAAATTCCAGTATATGAGTTCTGAAATTTTATTAGCCAGTGCATAACTAGTGCCAGCCAAATTCACCCAGTAAAATCACAAACTAAGCCCTTTGTACTAAGCCTTCTGATGTTTTTCAAATCAACACTACAGAGCCCTATCTGTTTCTGTGGTGATAAAATTTTGTCAAACATGACCACAATGTTTGGGATGATATATACATGATAGTATGTAAACTAGTGGTTGTTATATATTATGTTTCTAATAAATGGACTCTGTCTTGAGAAATGAAAATGGGACCTACAGATATTCAGAAAATTGCAGGATAAAGCTGTGTCTTATGTACAGACAAGTGCTTATTTAAATGGACTGGGTGATTTCAGTCCTGATGGATATTTTACAGTGT